TGCTGCAGCATCTGGTAATCAGAGTGCTGGTGGACTTTCATCCCTTCTCGATAAGGATTGCTTGCTAAGCAGTTCTTCCCCTTCAGCTATTTCGAGATGCCTTTGATGTTTTGAGCATTAACATCTTGTTCCGAGTCTTGTCACTCTTAGACCATGGTGAAATGCTTTATCGGCCATAATGCTCAGAGCGTCACCTGTGCATTTCAGGTTCTGGCGCGTTTCAGCTATAACCTTAATTTACCGCTCGATTTTATGCAACGATTGCAAGTGATTTTGGACAAGTTCGCACCGAACACTCTCTTCGATGCACCGTTTACTCATCGTTTTGGGGCTGTCGATGGGACAGCGCTGTTAGAGAAAATAAGCAGTCGCCACCTTGATTACATCAATTTTGCGCTTGATAAGAGCAGTTATTCAAGCCTCAGTGGATATGTTCGACAGTAAGTTCCTCCATCGAACTAAATGCTTTTCTAATAAGATTTACGAAAATTTCGAACGACTGTTGCTCATGTTTGTCCATATGTTTACTCGAGAGCTAAAAGCACTATTCTTTGTTGGAATTTCACTACTGTTACTCTGTCCTGCTGTCAGGCTTAATGCAGTGAGAGGCGGCGCGGTTTTGTTGAATATGGAGATGGCTTGAAACAACTAGTCCCGCTACGATTCGTTCATTTGTTTCGATGGTGTATTTGTACTGGCACATGCCGCAGAAGTCGAAACAACCTTCATCTTGTTTATAGGTAGTCTTCAGAAGAAGACACTAGGACAGCCTTATCAGCGAATAGCCTCTTTTGGGTTTGACTAATAACAGAATTATTTCCGAATGTTTTCACTTCACGGATGAGTGAGTTTGGGAGGAGGTGAGGGAATTTAACTTCGTTTTTGTGCGTCCTTGCATATTATGCAAGTGCGGAAACTCATATTAACAAGAGGTTGTGTGTCTGTATGTGTCATTCGCGTACGCTTGGCAATCATGCATTGACAGCTGGAAAAATCTCGGCACCGGACAAGATAGAAAGCTGAAATTTCACAGAGATATTATGTGCCCTTGTGTGAGCTAAAGTTTTCAAATTCAGCTTTAGAGCATGCATACATCTCATATATGAATGCATAGAAGTTGGGATTTCGCGGTGAGTGGCAGAATGCCAATTAATGAACTAAGCTAGAATGTTTTAATTTTGCGAGGTTACTTTTCAAAATTGATCGCGTAGGCGTAAAATGATCTTTGGAATACGCCTGTTTTGCGAGTCCAGTACGTTAGAAATTCCGTGTAACAGATTTTTCGAGAACTTTAATTTTTATCTTAATAACATGTAAAGCCGTATCAGGAGCGAACCTCAGTCTTGCATTTGTCCATGTTCTTTCTTAGTAATTTTTATTCAGGTATGCAGTTTTGCCGAGTACCGACGTTAAAGCCGTTGTAATGATACTTTTCACGTTGAAGCTGATGTTTGGTCTCAACGACAGCACGGAATTTGCAATGGAAAGTCGGGTAATTCTTAAAAAATTGCTCTGTAGGATACTATTGGTATATCTTAATTTGAAATTTGGTTCTCAGAATAAGCAGTTTTAGTTGCTGTGCGAAATTCTACGTCGGATGGTGATTACTCTACTAGTGATCCTCTTGTTCATCTTCTGATCTTGTTGTAATTAGCTCTGTGGCAGTCTGTGCTTGTGGTTGCTTGCTTATTTTGCAGTGTACTTAAGTGGATTCTGAAAACTTTGGTTAGAAATATTGATCCAGCAAAGGTCGGTTTTTATGCGTTTTTTGCAGCAATGCAATGCGAAAAACGCATATTGACGAGAGGTTGTCTGT